AACAGTGAATGAATGGAATTCCAAAATCTCTGTAGATGTTCATTGAAATAAAAAAAAAAAAAAATTAAAAAAAGAAAGTAAATAAATACAAACCCAACACTGAGCTCCCTTAGTGAAGAGGTACAACACTAGTATCACAGCGCTGTGAAGAGACAGCCTGAGACAGCAGAGACAGACTCTCCCACACTCTGAGGTGAGAGGAGAGATAAACAAAAATAAATATATGAAGGTGTACGTAAAATGAGACAAAGTCACTATTTGCTACGAAATTATAATAAAGTTCTAGCTGGCAACACCAAAAAAAAAAAAAAAAAGCAGGTGTTACTGTCACAGACGGCAGTTTCTGTATCTGCCGAGTATGGCGGGTGCTGCCCTGTGTCATCCAGGAGGTGACAGAAATCCTGACATCTGATACCTTTCCGAAGCTTCTTTTCAGTCTACATTTAATTTTTTTAAAAGTATTTATATTTGTTCCCATTCCAAAGAAGGGTGACCCAACAGAGTGTGGAAACTAAAGAACAATATCATTGATTTCACATACAAGCAAATTCTGCTGAATATTATCCAAAAACGACTGGAATAGCATGTCAGCAGAGAACTGCCAAAAATCCAGGCTGGGTTTAGAAGGGGTCGTGGTACTAGGGATATTATATGGATCTTAGCTGAAAGCAGGGAATAACAGAGGAATGTCTATCTGTGTCTCATTGATTATGCAAAGGTGTTTGACTGTGTGAATCATAACAAACTGTGGCTGACTCTGAGAAGAATGTGAATCCCAGAACACTTGATCGTGCTAATGAGAAATCTATACTGGGACCAAGAGGCAATTGTCAGAACAGAGCAAGGAAACACTGCATGGTTCAAAATTGGGAAGGGTGTATGCCAGGGATACGTCCTGTCTCCATACCTTTTCAACCTGTATGCAGAACAGATTATCCTGGAAGCTGGGCTCTATGAGGAGAAATGTAGAATCAGGATTGGTGGAAGATCTATCAACAATCTGCGTTATGCAGATGACACAACCCTGCTTACTGAGACTGAGGAGCACATGAAGTGCTTGCTGAAGAGGGTCAAGGATGCAGCCTTCAATATGGATTGAGGCTCAGTGTCAAGAAGACAAAGATTCCCACCACTGGGACAATTGGCAGCATCAGGATGGATGTTGAAGAGATTGAGATTGTTCACAGATTTCGTTTGCTTGGCTCCACAGTCAACATTCTTGGCACCAGCAGCCAGGAAATTAAAAGATGTATTGCTATAGGAAAGCCAGCTGTTAAGAACTTTTCCAAAGTTCTGAAGAGCAATAGTGTCTCTCTGGAGACTAAGGTGTGTCTGACACAGGCCATAGTCTTTGCAATCAGTTGTTATGCGTCAGAGAGTTGGACAATGACCAGGAAGGATAGAAGGAGAATTGATGCCTTTGAGCTGTAGTGCTGGAGAAGAGTATTGAGAGTACCACAGACTGCTAGGAATACAAACAGATTCATCTTGGAAAGGGTTAAACTGGGTGGCTCCTTGGAGTCAAGGATCCTGAAGCTCCATTGAACACACTTTGGACATTTTGTAAGGAAGGACTGGACCTTTGAGGGGGACATCATGCTTGGGAGGGTGGAGAGACAGCGCAGGAGGGGAAGGCCCTCTATGAGGTGGATTGATCCAGTGACTGGGGTAATTGGGATCGGTATATTAGAGACAGTCCGATTAGCACAGGACAGAGCCGAGTTTAGGGCTGTTGTACATAGGGTTGCTATGATTCTCAAGCGATTCGACAGTCCATAAAACAACAACAACAACACATATACTTACGTAATTAGAACAACTATGGAATTAGGTTTTTATGTTGTTGTTGTTTTAATTTTATTTTATTATTTTTTTGTGTGTACCGTCAAATCAGATCTGACTGGTACAGGAGGAGATTGTTCCTCCTTCTCCAGTAGAGCATCTGGTAGGAATTGGGTTTTTAATTATACTTTTTTTCTTAAAATACTTCTGGTGTTACATTTTTACACATGAACAGTAAATTAAGTCATAATCTGCTCTTTATCTTTGTAACAAAATTTTGTCTCATAGGCTCTATTGTTATACAGTATTTTTAAAAATTAGTGTGAGATACTAATTAACCAACTTGATCTCATAGATATTTATAGGCTAATGCACCCAAAAAAAGCACAATATACCATCTTTTCCAATGTGCATGGAGTGTTTTCCAGAATAGAGCACATTCTAGGTCACAAGGCAAGCATCAACAAATTCAAGAACATAGAAATTATACAAAATATCTTCTCAGATCACAACACCACAAAATTAGATATTAGTAACAAGAGAATAAAGAAGAAAAATCAACAAACGAATGGATAGAGAAGCTGTGGTATATTCACACAATGGAATACTATGTTGCATTGAAAAAAGAAGGAACTCATGCAATATTATTCAAAATGGGTAACCTTGGAGGACATTATGCTGAGTGAAATATTTCAGTCACAAAAGGACAAATACTGCATGGTGCCACTGTTGTAAAACAGGACTGACATTGGGGTTGGGGGAGACTGAGAAAGATGAGTTAAATAATATATACTGCATTGAATCAGATGAAAGAGAAAACTGTTTAAAATGGATATGTGATTAGGTATTTTTGTCATGAAGGGAGCCCAGAGCGAAGTGGAGTGGACCTGGGGGAAGGGATTGTAAAACAATGAAAGAATGTTTCTTTTAGTTTTCCAAGAGGGTAGTGTGCTAGCGGGGAGGGCTGGGAGGGGAGAAAAGGACAACAATGAATGAATGGAAATCCAAAGTCTCTG